GTTGAAATATTACCCATCCAGCTCGGGATCCTTCCAGAGAGATTGTTGTTGCTAAAATCTATTAAATACAGAGAGGAGCAGTTAGATAAAACTTTCGGGATACTTCCATAAAAGTGATTGTCATTCAACTGTAATTCATCCAAGAGGAATAAGCTAAATTTCCCATAGAAAATCTGGCCTTGTAGGTTGTTGTTTGATAGAATAAGGAGCCTCAGTGATAAGCAACCCATGGTTAACTTCTTAGGTATTCCACCAGATAAGTTATTATGAGATAAGTCCAAAGACGCCAACAACTTCATATCACCAACTGAAGGAGGAATGCTACCAGTAAGAGAATTTCTTGAAATGTTTAAATCTCGTAACCTTGGCAAAGATGCTCCAATCTCCATTGGAATATGGCCATCCAAGAAATTTTTGGAGATATCTAGATGTTCCAAACTCCTATGAGAGTGAGCTAACAACTCAATAGGTCCAGAGAGGGAATTGTTAACCAGCAAAAGTTTGTTCAACCTTGTGTTGTTTTCCAACAACCAAATGGGAAACTCTCCAGTTAGGTTAAGGTGTGAGAGGTCTAAAGTTTTGAGGTCATGTTGAGAGTAGAGGAAGTTTGGAATTGCTCCACAATCTCCATAACCAGACAAAGCCAAGATATTTAGTTGGAAACTTGGTTCCAAAGATTCAATGGCAATATCTGCATAAAATTTATTGTTTTTTGCATTGATAATCTTGAGTTTTGAATGGTTGAAGAATGGTTGAAGGGAGATGGGAATTTGGAAGTCATTGTCTGAAAGGGACAAGTAATGAAGGTTTGTCAATTTGTTAAGAGGGGATAGAGTTATATTTCCAGAAAATCTATTTAAATCGAGGCTTAATCTCTTGAGAGAAGTCAAATTTGCCAAACATGAAGGCAAGGCTCCCTTTAAATAATTGTAGTTAAGAACCAACTCTTCAAGATGTGTCAATTCACACAGCCCTGTGACCATAGACAACACTTACAAAGTTAGTCATGTAGCTTCAAAAAGATATATCTAGTAAAAATGGTCAAATTTGGACAATCGTTCCTATTTCTTTAAATTTGTAACTAACCTGAGCCTGTTAAGTTGCCACTGAATTTGCAGCTAGATATTGATAGAACCTTGAGAGAAGTCAATGCTCCAACACCATGAAAGAAGTTGGTTGGGGGGATAGAATAATCCATAAACAACTCTTCCACTTTGGTCAAGTTATGAAAACCTAATAAGAAAAACAATTAATTATATTCATGTAATCTTCCATCAAAATTAATAAATTTAGAGCAATGACATATATTTGTAAGAAAAAGTATTCTAAGAAGATGAAAAAGAAATTCCAATAAAGATGAAAATTTACCATAAAAATTTTTAGGCCAATAAAATATAACAAGATGGTACATTTTTGAAAGGAAAAATTATAACTGTAATAATAAAATGGAGATAAAGCAAGCTTACCTCTTGCACTGGGGTTCATTTTTATTCTGCCTTGTCCTAGGGATAGAGTTTTTAAAGATGGAAGGCTTGCCAAAGATGACAGGATGTTGTAGCTGAAGTTTATTCTTCCATGTAGGTCTAGCACCTCCAAATGTTCAAGTCTTGACAGCTTTTCTAAATTAGCTGTTACAAATTAATAATCAAAGCATGTTGTCCACAATTATCTAATTTTGCTAAGCATATAACATAAAATTAAAACTGTAAAATGGTTAGAAGCCAATAAGTTATTTAATTATAACTAAAGGATGATAAGATATTATTGTTTAACTTATTGTGATTTGGATCTAGGATTTGCAAGTTTTTTCAACATAGGAAGGCTCTCAAAACTTGCAATATATATAATTATTTATTTAGTTTTGGGGCCACATATATATTAAGATATGAAACAATAAGGAAATGGGTTTTACAAGAGAAAGTGAGACATCTATACATAGTTAGATGCTCGGAATTCATGTTGAGCTAGATATAAAAACTTGAGAGATAGAAGCTCACTCAAAGATGATAAGATATTATTATTAGTTAACATATCATAACTTAGATTGAGGAATTCTAGTTTTTTCAACTTAGAAAACCTCTCGAAATCTACAGTACATACAATTACTAATTCAATTTTGGAGCCACATATATATTTAGATGAAATAATTAGGAAATAGGTTTCAATAAGTGAAAGGTAGACATCTATACCTTCAACATGGTTAGATGCCTGGAGATTGTTGTTACCTAGAGATAGAAACTTGAGAGATAAAAGCTCACTCAAATATGGCAAAATGCTGTTATTGAAGAAATTTCCTTCCAAGTGAAGGATTTCCAAATTGCTCAACTTCTTTAAATGCTTAAGAAACCCTACAAATAGATCACAAGAATTGTAATTTTGGTTTAATTAAAAAAGGAACGCATAAATAAAATATGTGGGATAGGACAACAGGAATGAGATGAATGTGCTGAACATATAAATATTGAAATGCTAGATCATTGATAATCACAATTTTAACTGAGTTGAAAGGCAGATAAAATATGAAACTAGCTATTCCATTAAAATTCAAAAGTGAGACTTCAATTCCTCAAATGGAAGAAACAAAGAGGCATTCAGATACATGTTAGTAAAACTGCTACATGCTCTAGCCTGTGTGAAAATAAGGACGAGTGAGATAACTCGTCTAGTGGTGAAAGTTCCACTCAACCTTCTTCCATTGACAACAGTTTGAATATTTTCTCTTCTCTCACCCCATTTCTTGGAGAAAAAGTAGAATTGAACAAAGGTTTGGGCTGAAGGAGAGCAGTTCTCTCTTGGACCCAACACCCTTGGCACCACAGCCCTTCCAATAAGGGGAGTGTAAGTAGCACATACCTTAACATTTTGACTCCATCAAAATATACTCAGATCAACCACCAGTTAAGTACTGCTACTATCTCTACACCATTACTAGCAATACATTGTAGACCTTCATGTACACAAGTAAAGTAAGCAACTAGTCCATGACTTCGTGTTTTGTCATAAATGGGTCCGGCGCATTATTAATTCAACTCATCTATTTTCAGTTTCCACAACAATTATATTATTCCTTTTCTTTCTCTTTAATTCTTTAATTTCATTAAAAATGAATTAAAAAAGATTATAACAAATTGGTTTACATTGAGATGAGATTATCAAGAGATAACTTCATTACTAATAAATAGATTATTTATAAGAAGGAAGAATTTATACCTTTATTACTAATAGATGGATTATTTATAACGAAAAAAATATATATTAAATGACTATTGAAATTATTGATTTTAACGTCCTAGCATATAACATAAAGTTAAAATTGTACCATTGTTTGATGATGATAAGTAATTCCCTGCTAGATTTAGATATTTGAGAGATGAAAGCTCACTCAAAAATGATAAGTTATTATTGTTCAATACAGTGTATTGTAGATCAAGGATTTCCAAGTTTCTCAACTTAGAAAGCTTCTCAAAACCTGCAATACATACAATTACTAATTCAGTTTTGGAGTACATATATATATTAATATGAAACAATAAAAAAATAGGTTCTATAAGTCGAAGATGGACAATTGTACCATCAGCATGGTTAGATGCTTGGAATTCATTGTCAGCTAGATATAGAGACTTAAGGGATGGAAGCTCACTCAAAGAGAATAAGATACCGTTGTTCAACCTATCATTACTTAGATCAAGGGTTTCCAAATTTCTCAACTTAGAAAGCCCCTCGAAACCTGCAATACATACAATTACTAACTCAGTTTTGGAGCACATATATATTAAGGTGAAACAATAAAAAAACAGGTTCTATAAGTCAAAGATGGACAATTGTACCATCAGCATGGTTAGATGCTTGGAATTCGTTGTCAGCTAGATATAGAGACTTAAGGGATGGAAGCTCACTCAAAGAGAATAAGATACTGTTGTTCAACTTATTATTACTTAGATCAAGGGTTTCCA